ACACACACACACACACACACACACCACATTCAGGCCTTCCTTATCATGGTCTCCCCACCCTGCTCCTGACTCCAACGTGTAAAAACAGGCCTTTCTCTACAGACCAGGCACTTCCCACCCCCAAACTCCCACCCATGCCCTGGGCATACTACCAGGGGAAACACCGGCAAGGACATGCCCAGGCCTCAAAACATGGGGAGGGAGGGAAGGGAGGGGATGAAGACACTCACTGGCATTACTATCCGCCAAGCTGTTGAGGCTACTAGAAATGTCCCTTCGCCGGAAAAGACAGACAACCTTTGCTTCCACATTTCCGTTTGCAGTCTAAGGGGTGGGGAAAAAAATGTGGGTAGTAAACATGAGTTTGAAGGTGGAAACACACCAAGCAGAGACTAACAGCAGCCAATACATTTCTAGGGGGTCTAAGTAGAAAAAGCTCAAGAAATTACCAGTAAACACACCTTTCTTCTGTGGCCTTCAAGGAACAGCAGAGTTCCCACTGAGCTCTCAGAAATCTTTCATGAATACGCACAATGAATGAATGGATGCATTCAGACAGGGTCCTCCCTCCCACCTGAGACCACGGGGTGGGAACAGAGGGAGGGGGACACACCACAACTCACCTTGTTGAGCTCCTCAATCCGTCTAACCAGGTAAGGATTGCTGGAGGAGTTCTCAAAATAGACGTAATCTGTAGAAGGGGGTGGAGAAGTACCAAGAAGATCAGAGAAAAATGGGAGAGAACGGTATCAGGAGCAAAGTCAGTCTGAGTGGACCAAAAGGAGGCTCCAGGTGGAAGAAAGGATGCTGAAATGTTGGAAGTGGAGAAACTAAGGAAATAAAGATTGCACCACCCATTCCCCACCCCTACCCCCACCCCAAACACCACCACTGTTGCAACTATTCTATAAAATCAGGTCTTCACTAGTAAGTGAACCTTAAAGGCGAGGCAAGGATTCCCCGCTTGTCCCCACAACTCAAAGCAGAGCGTTGTCTTCCACGATCGAAGGGAGCGACTGCACACTCTGCCTAGAGCCCCCACGTCCGGGAGCCGAGAACGAGGAAATCTCCCGGTGTCTCCCCCGCAGCCCTCAAGCTGTCGCCCGGGCTCCCGCGCCCCCTGGCTGCCCTGTCAGTCCTTCCGAAACCAGTTTCCCAAGCCTTCTCCCCGTCCAGGGGGAAGCCGAGGCGGGGCTCGGGATGCCGTCGGGGACCTCGCTCGCTGCCCCTCCAAGACTCAGGGGCCCCACCGCGACGCTGTCCGCTCCCCGGTTCCGGTTCCGGTCGCCGCTCCGGTCCACTCGGCCCCGGGGATTGGCTCCCCAGCACCTCCCGGGACCGAACCGCTCCATCCATTGCTCCCCCCAAATCTCCTACTCCGGGGTCCGTTCCACTCTCTGCTCCGGATACTCACCTCCCACCCGGTACATGTTGGCCGCCATGGCCGTTCCCGCCGCCGCCGCCGCCGCCTCCGGCCGCACAAAGGGGTCCGAGAGGTTCGCGGGGACCGAGCTCGGCTCGAGGCGGGGCCCCCAGCGTGGGGCTGGCGCTTCGCCGGGGTGTCGA